TGGACTCCAGCTCTGCCACAGACAAATCCAGATCAAGTCCTTGATCTTGATCTGTAGGCTGACTGCATGGCTTGACCTCAGCCCATCCCCATGGAAGTGCCTGATGATGTGGGATGGACCCTGGCTAGAGAAACCCATGCCCTTCCAGTCCCTGTGGAGTTTTTCTATGGGTCAGAGCCCTCAGGCTGCTACATGGTTACATCATGTTAATTGCTTGATATTCTGTAGGAAGCAAAATACCTGCAGGAAGAAGGAATCAACATGCCTTTGGCAGGAGCACAGAGTAAATATGCTGACTTTTGCAAGATTCAAAGCTATGTAGATCATCACAGTCTTAGGACGTGGTCCTATTTCTCCTGCTTAGGAGTGTTTGTTCCTCCATTCTATGCACCTACATTTGAGGGGTGGGGTAGGAATATTTAATGTGTTTGTAAACTGCAGAACTGCTTTTTCTGGTTTGTTTTATTCAGTCCTTCAAATCTACCTTTTGTTTCCCCGGCACCAGAGGCTTCCTGGAGTCAGCAAGGCACATTAGCTAATTGCCTTCCCTTGGGGCAGGAAGATTGTAGCACTCATATGTGTCCTGGCAAACCTCTTAGTGCTTTTGAAGAGAGTGGTGAGTGAACTTCAGCCTGCAGTTCTTGTTGCTCTTTTTCTTCCTAAAACTAGGAAAGTCTTCTCACACTGCAGCTACATCTCCCAAAACCTCTTTCTTGTACTTAGACTTTTCCTGCTGCATCAACATCACCTGCATGTGTCACTGATGTATGAGGTTGGATTCATTCAATGAAAGGTAGATGAGAGATAATATGCACATGAATGATGACCTACGCTTTGTGCTGGCCCAAGTTGTCTAGAAAACATTCTGGAGAAATCCATTCAGTCTCTTGACTGCATCCACTCACTATGATCTCTCTAGACATGATAATAAGTCAACTGCATAAGCTTTTAAGTATCAGCATTTCTGCAGGCCTTCTCACTAGTGCACTAACCCTGCTGCAGAACTTCACAATAATTAAATACACAAAATGTGCCTTAGAGGTCAGAACTAGATGGCACATTTAAGACAGTCAAACCACAGCATTTAGATCCTAAGGTGGCATGGACAATACCTGTAATAGCCTTTTCATGTTTTTCCCTCTTTGATTCCTTTCTTAACACAGCACTAAATTTGGAAATGTTGCAGTCTGGGGTTTCTTTTCAAGAAGAGGATACAAAGTCACAAACTTTCATTCACTAAAAATAGCCATATGTGTGATTCCATATGGAGGGAATTGTGCTGAGACTTGCACCTGCCAGCTCTCAATTTAATACTGTGATTCTTTTGAGCTTTTTGCTTCTGTGCATAAGTGATAAAGGGTTTTACCAAAGTACAAGCCTGTCAGAGTCTTTATCTCCTTTGGAACTCACTTGTGTATATCATTTTTCTTGTAAGGACAATAATTTTGAACATATAGCATTTGTTATCATTTCCCCTGGAAATGCAGCTTGATTTTCTCTAGTGATGCATATTTATGGAGAGCCCATGTGCTGTGTTACAGATGGGGTGGCCTCATGGCATTTGCAGTGCAAAAAACATGTTTGAATCAGTGCTGCAAGGGCTCGTGGAGAGAGCAGTGAAGCTGATGTAACAAATGGAGAAACTGTCTGTCTTCCTTGCAACTGCTATTTATTTGCAAATATATGGTTCCAATTTTCAGTATAAACACTCATCAGTCTCTCAGATCCCTTGCTTAGATAAATGTGGTTGATCACCTTGTTTTTTTAATGCTTATAGGAGCTTGGATCCTGAAGTAGCAGAAATAAAGCAGAATTTTCTGAAGAAATACATCAGCAGGATCTTCTGCACAAGAACAGATTGCTCAGCAGTAAACTGAGCTAAGATATTCAGCTCTGTTGCAGATTGTGCTATTGTGACAAATGCTGCTCATCCAACATCGCATACCTTTACCTACTTCAGACAGAAATGGGGAGAACAAGGTAAGTTATAGAAGGTTTCCACATTACAGGTTACTTTCTCTTTCTGCCAGACAAAGCTCTTCCTCCCCTGTGTGGAGAGCTAGAAGAAATACAGCTCTTCCTCTCTCTTACGCCTGGTGCTGCAATTAAGGAATGGCTGAACAATGACTGCATCAGCAGTCCAGGCTGCCCCTTGCTCCTGCCATGGCCACTGTATGGTTAAGGACTGTTTTGTCTCACATGAATGATTTAGCTGATCGGCACATTTCTGCCTGGGGAGAGATGAACTGCTGATTCCCCTGGGGTAGTGTATAATAAATGAAACCAAACCTTGATGTTAAAGAAAAAGATTGTTCCAGACTTGTAAGGTAGAAGGGCAAAAGGACGAGCTGAACTTTGAAGATGAAATAGAAACCATGTAGAGAAAAGAAGTATGATAAAAGTAGTTGCTTTCAGCTAATATTGGATGGAGGTAATTTTGTGCTTCGACACTGAGTTGCTTAAGTAGTTAATGGTAAATTCTGGAGTGTTTGGCTTGGTGCTGCTGTGTTTAGAATTTCATTTCACATCTCCAAGGGCTTTTCATGCAGGTAAATGAGAAGCAGAGCTTTTGTGAAATTGTGGAGTCAGCATCCTTTTCTGTTTGCATTAAACCTCTTTTTAGTATAGGGTCATAAATATGTTCTGTTGGAGAAGATCTATCCCTGGTGGTTACATATCATCAGTTTATCATGCAGAGTCCTGTCATCTTGACTCAGCACAAACACTGAGTCAACAGGGGAGGGTGAGCAGGAAAACCTGTGGAAAGGATGCCTGCAGGGAGGAAAATGCTGGCAGATTCTTTAGTCTTTGCTCCCCATAAGCCCTTCCATCTGG